CCCCCCCCCCCCCTCCCCTCCTCCTCCCCAGGCTTCGTGTCGGACGAGGAGCGGGCGGCGTGCACCGCGTTCCGCGAGACGCACGCCATCAGCGACGAGCAGCACGGGGAGGCGCTGCGCGCCGCGGGCGCAGATGAGGCTCGCTGGCGCGCGCGGCCCGACTCGCTGCGGGTTGTGATGGACAGCTCGCCGGCACCGCCGGCGGTGCAGACGGTCAGTCAGGGGTGTGGGACAACATAACGTCGTCTTATTCGTTTGCTAGTTTTTCTTCTTTCTGGCGGCATGAGCGGCGGCCTGAGCCCAACTCTGCTGCCCGAGCTGGCGGTGGGCGACCTGGGCTCGCTGCGCGCCGTCCTCTCCGGGTGGGGGACGTGCGGGACGTCGCTCGCGGCCCAGCTCGACGCGCGGCTCGACACCGAGAAGCAGGACACGCTGCTCACCTGGGCCGCTCGGCACGGGCAAGCCGAGGCGGTGCGGCTGCTGCTCGAGGCCGGCGCAAGCGTCGGGGCGACGACTGGCGGCGGCGCTTCCGCGCTGCTCATCGCGTGCCAGGACGGCCGCCTCGAGTGCGCCCGGCTGCTCCTCGAGGCGGGCGCGGCGAAGGACCAAGCCGCAGCGGACGGCGCCACGCCGCTGCTCATCTCGTGCCGGCTGGGCCACCTCGACATCGTCCGGCTGCTCCTCGAGGCCGGCGCTGCGGTGAACCAAGCAGATTCTGACGGCTTCACGCCGCTGCTGATTGCGTGCGAGGCAGGCCACGTCGAGTGCGCCCAGCTGCTTCTCGAGACCGGCGCAGCGAAGGACCAAGCCCAGACCCAAGGCGCCACGCCGCTGTACATAGCGTGCCAGGAGGGCCACGTCGACACCGCCCGGCTGCTCCTCGAGGCCGGCGCGGCGATCGATCAAGCCACGAACGATGGCGCCACGCCGCTATACATCGCGTGCCAGAAGGGCCACGTCGAGATCACCCGGCTGCTCCTCGAGGCGGGCGCGGCGGTCAGCCAAGCCAAGGAGGATGGCGCAACGCCGCTGGTCATCGCGTGCTTCCAGGGCCACCTCGAGGTCGCCAAGCTCCTCTCCTCCTACGGCGCCTCCCGCGCCGCCGTGCCGCCCGGCGGCACGCCCGAGGAGATCGCAACCGAAGAAGGCCACGCCGACCTCGCCGCCTGGCTGGTCGCCAGCCGCGGCTGGACGCCGCTCGCGCACCTTGAGAGCCTCACCGCCGCCCGCGCTCTCTCCCTGCTGCGCAGCGGCGCAAGCCTGCACGAGGGCGAGCCGACGCCGCTGCAGCGCGCCGCGGGCGGCGAGGGCGAGGCGGCGGCGCTGATCCGGCGGGCGGCGGCGCCGTGGTCGCCGGCAAGCCACTCGCTCTTCCCCGCGGCGGCGCGCGCGCGGGCGGCGCTCCTCGTCGTCTCGCTCTACGAGATCCACGAGCGGCACCATCTCGACTCGGCAGGAAACACGAACGGCATCGCGGCACGCGACTTTGTCGCGTGCGTGCTGCGCTTCGCGGTCACGCGCGAGACGGAGTAGGGGAGCTGCCGCGGGTGGCGCGTGCTTCGCGGGTCGCGCGCACAGCGAGATGCGCACAGTTCCGCGCCGCTGTCCCCGGACCCGGCCTGCGGGGCAGAGTGAGAGCGGGTTGGGGGTTGGAGAGAGGTTCTGAGAGCGCGAGAGAGTGTGAGAGACCGCGCTCGCCCGACAGCGGCACACTGCGCGCGCGAGACCGATCGAGAGGGGCGAGTCACCGCGCGGGGCGGGGGGGGCGGGGGGCGGCGCGACCCGCCCTCCCGCGGAGCTCAATGACCAATGTCTCGCGATGGGGGGGTTGCCGTGTTCTCTGTTGGGCGCTTTGGGTTTGGCGTGGCGCGTGGGAGGGACAGGCCAAGGCGGGAGGGCGGCGCCCCGGCGCGCGGGCCGTGGCCCGCACACAGTCGTCACGTCTCGGGATGGCCATGGCCGGATCGCGGATCGGGATGGGAGATGGGTGTAGGGTGACTTAACTGACTTAAGTGATAAAATTCTTACCGTCTAGCGTCTTAGATATATACGAGAAAATTGTTGGGTCTTTGCTCTACGGGGCGGGAGAGCTCTCCACAGTCTTTTTGGGCGTTGTGAAATCACACTGACAAATTGAGGACATTTTCATACTCCCTCCCACCCGGTTAGGATTCCCGCGCGAGGACCGGGACCGGGGCCAGAGGGGGGCGGCGTCGGCGACTGCACGGCTCGGTGCCGCGTTCCATCTGCTTCTACCACCGCCCCCACTCCACCCGGCCACTGGCGACGACAGCCTCGGCCCTGCACCTCCACGCCCGTGAGGCAGCGAGCGACAAGGCGGTGAGCTTAATCTGCGCGGGGGGGGGGGGGGTGAGACGCACTGCACTGGCAGGCGACGGCGGGAAGCGGCTGGCTCTGCGAGGAATCCAGCGGCGAACGGGACGGGCGCGCGCAGAGCGGGACGGCGGCCGCGCAGAGCGGGGCGAGACGTACCGAACAGGTCGAAGCCCATCTCCTCCTCCTCCTCCTCCGGCTCAGGCGCCTTCTCCGCCGGCGCGGCCGCCGCCTCGCCCGCCGCCGGCGCGGCATCGCCGCCGCCGCCGCCGCCGCCACCGCCGCCGCCGCCGCCGCCCGAGGGCATGGCGGCCATCTTGGCCTTGCCCGCCGCGAGGACCTCAACCAGGTCCTTGCCCTCAAGGGACCCGAGCAGCTTCTCGAGCTTCTCAGAGTCTGGCTCGACACCGACGCTGTCGAGGATAGACGTCACGTCCTGAGAAAGGTAGAGAGGCAAGCGTGAGACGCCGGCTTCGGGTTCAGAACGCGCAGAGAGGCGCCAGGTGCAGGCGCAGGTACGGCGCGCGTCGCCAGGATGGCAGCGGTTCAGGGACGGAGGCGCGCAGCGCAGGGGCGGCGTCTGCTCACCGCAGCGGAGGGGCTGGCGTTGCCGCCGAGCTGGGCCAGAAGGTACGCAGCGACGTGCTTCATCTGCGGAGGGGGGCAGGAGCGCGGTGTCGGCGCGTGGCCCGTGGGCCAAACAGCAGCGCACTCTTTGCCTGAGCCCCGGGGCGACACGACCGTGCAAAAGAATTCGCTAATCTGAGAGCTTTTAGAAAACCAACGAATCGGCGAGAGACTGCGAAGAGAGATAGGAAGAGGCAGACTCCCTAGGGTGGGCGACGGATAGCGCACCACACACCTCTCCTTAAAATCCCTGTGTGGTGGCGGCGTGCCGTCCTCCCATCCCTCCCTTGGGTTGTCTGTGTTCTTTCTTTCTTTTTTTTAGAAAACCAAGAAGAAATCACGGCTCTGACAGTTTGGTCTCTTGCTTTGTGCTGCCAAGAGGGTGGTGGTGCGATGAGCGTTCTGTTTTTCTTCGTGGCAGCATCATGCCAGCCCGTTTTTTGCCCGCAGTGCCGTACCCCCCGCGAATCAAATCATACATGTATATGAACATTGCAAAGATCGCGCGCTTCGTTCGCGGTTGCGATAATATTGCTCCAAGCGTGCATTGTGAAAAAACGCTGCTCTCTGGCCGTTTAGGAGGGAGAAAAGCGCTCGCTGAAGGCGCGGACGGCGGAGAGACAGAGAGAGCCGTCTTGCGTCTAGGTGAGAGCCAGAGCGGCAAAATCCCTTAAAGCCGTACGGGGTGTGGACCCTGAGTTGACCAGGGGTTGTGCGCTGGGCCCTCCTGCTCGGCTCCAGCCAGTAGACAAGTCTTGTCATCAACAGAGTAGAAGGATCTGACCTCGGGGCCGATGTGACCAAGCGCTGGTAGCGTGGTTTAACCTCACACCCATGGTCTCACAGTGTGCCGGCAGTCGCCGAGCAGTGTCACTCACACAAGCCGCAGCACAAGTGACTGAGGGCCAGTGAGGGCGAGCCCATCGCTGTCACAGCTGTGGCAGCCGCACAGTAGGCTGTGTCAACTGTGCAGAGTGTGTGAGCAGCAGAGGAGCTTCACTCCAGGCTTCTGTCGCAAAGAGCTGCATGCCACCGAAAGCGCTGTCGAGGTTCGCCGAGCGCGGCGAAATCGGGGGACGCCGTCACCGACGAGCGCGTTGGAGTATTCACTCCGGACAAAGCCGGCCACACGCACACGAGCTGCGGCCGTGTGGCCGTCATATAGCGGCGAGGCGCGGGACCGTCTGTGGCGAAGTGGGTCGCGTCCCTCGATTTCCTCAACTCACGGTCCGCTCCCTCTACATGGTACATGCCCCAACCCTCTAATACAATCTCATTACTCGGCTCTGAGGGCGGGGGCGCAGGTAGAGGTAGGGCTGGCGTGGGGGGCCTCAGGTAAAGGTAAACCTGTCTCAGACCGCCGGAGGTAGAGGTAAACGGAAAAACCACGTGAGGGCAGGTAAACGTACGCCCGTGAACGTAGCCCCTGATAACCCGCCGAGGGCTCTGTCCTCGAGGTGGGACGACCAAGGCCCCGCGAGAGCGCTTCGCCTGCGGCGCGCCTGCCCGGCCATGGACCAGGCTTCACCGCCGCTTGCCGACGGCTGATCGCATCGCCTACCGCATCGCGAATGACCAGTGCCGCGACCACTTTGACCTTGCTGCCTGCCTGCTGACCCGGGGTGCAAAGAATCTGCGCGTCTCTCGGTGCATTGATTGTGCATGATTGCTCGAGTGGGTCGAATTGGCAATCCACCGCAATGCGAACATGACTGGAGAGCATATGCAACAGAGGGGTCAGGTCATAGTGACGCGCTCGATGGGTTGCTGCATTGACGCACACAGCAAAAGCATCGCAGCGGAGACCTTCTCATGAGTGGCGGCTCGCACCATGCGGCAGTGCGGACACCAGGTGCGCGAATTTAAGAGCCATTTTCGGCCACCAAGCGAGATCACCCGAGAGCAGCTGAGTCTGCCTCTGGCCTCGCCTCCCTCTCCCTCAGGCATTCGTGGCATCCTATGGGTCGTCCAGAGTATCGACCTCTGGCTTGTCAGCCGGTCACTTGATGACACCATGAAGTACAGCGATCGCCATCTCGCTGGCCTCTCCGCAAGGCCCCCCGACCCTCTGGGGGGAGGCGGGGGCCCTAGAGGGCATCCATGCGGGGGGGAGATGGGGTCCCATGGCCCGCCGCAGGCGCCGATTTTTTATTTTTTGCGCGATTTTTTACTTGTTTTCATGGGAATTCGCTGTACTTGCGGCCATGCTATCACGCCTTGCGACAGCCTGTCGGCGCTGCTGACCGTGCCATGCTGCACAATTGACCACCTGCATAGCTCGCGGCCTTAGTATCCACCATTCAGTGACGACCTGATCGTACGGCCAGTAGGAAGGTGTCCTTCCAGCGCGTGCACGCTTCTGGCGCAATGCGCGTCGCCTCGGATTGGCTGCTGGCCCTCTCGAGGCTATGCCTACCTACACAGCCTCGCGCGCATGGGCAGTCAAGAGGGACCATGCACTTTCTCAGGAGAGCGCCGGTGCCTCTCTCTTGGACCGGCAAACTTGGTGGTCTCGTGTCACCAATGTGGGACCAGTGCGGCATCGCGCCATCAACAGCTCTGAACTGCGCCTCACCACTGACCGGGAAGGCCGCCAAGTGGGCCAGCACAGGTCGCACATTGTGGCAGCAGTCAGCATTGCATGTCTGATAGCTAGAGCAGCAGCGTCAGGGTCGCAGGGTCGGATCGTGTCAAGCCTCTCGCCCGGCCGGCCGCGTGCAGACGTCGGCCTGTCTGCTGTCTGGAGTGATCTGTCGGCGGTCAGTACGACCGATCAGGTCGGAGTTTTCTGATGGTTGGAGGGTCTACCTGTGTGTACTCCTCGAGATCTCTCCAAATCTGCCCTCTACTCAACCGTACTCACTCGGGAAGTCGGTGCTCTGAGCGACTCTGAGCGCCGGGGCCCCGTTTCCGCACTGCGGCGCGGCGCACGGTGCCTCCGGGGGCCCCCGCCTCCCCCCAGAGCCCCGACCGCGTCGAACTCATCGGCGCGGGCTCTCTCGGCTACGGTACCGGCCCCAGCTTCGGCTGAGGGCGAACAAGCTGCCGAGCCCAAATCACTGTGAGACTCGTGATTTATTGTTGGCCCTCAAAAATCTCTCTCTCGATTCCGTGGTTTTGGCACTGTCTACCAACTTTGGTACAAATCGACTTGAGGTTTGCCTCCATTCTGAAAGTGTTTGCGAACTCCGTTGTGCGCCGAAAAGCGGTATGGCGCCGAGCGAGGCATTTTCTTATTAGAAAAGGCTGTCGACATCCAAAAATAATTTCGTCCTGCGCGCCCAACCATGGTGCATGGGATGGTGGGCACGCAGCCGCGCGGCCAGGCGCGCCTGGCGGCGCCCATTTTGTGAAATGCCTGGCCACTCTGCACTCACCTAAGCCGATCTCACTTCTCAGAAACACTCGTGCGGCTGCGCATTGTTTGTATTTTCCCTTCTCTACGAGCCGGCGAGTGAAAATAGCTGCATCGTCCATCGAAGATCACATATTATCGAGATCACTCGAGAGATCACTCGAGACACGAGAGATCACGCACAGGTAAATCACGGCCCTACGTCGCTAAGAGGTAGAGGTAAAGGGCCCACGGCTGCCCAGAGGTAAAGGTAAGAGGGCCGCAGGCCCTCAGAGGTAGAGGTAACCTAGACCCCTCCTACCCAGAGGTAAAGGTAAGAGGGCCGACATTACGGGGGCCGACAGGACGAAAACGAAACAAGAAAAAATCCGAACGGAATTGGGCCATGGCCCGAACGGAATCGGACACCACTGGTCGTTGTATGGTTCGGTGGATGCGACATGGTTCTCTGTGCAGGTTCGGAGATGTACAAAAACAGGCGGCGATTACTCCCGGATCGTGAGGATGTGCACTTGATTAGGGTCGTCGTGCTCGCCGACGACCCAAACCTGCTCGCCGCTCGTGCAGATGCCCCCGAGTGGCTTGCCGTCCGGCGATGCGAAGACATGCAGCGGCTCGCCCTCGAGCGTCAGCACTTGCACGCGAGCGCCCTCGTACTCGCTCACGTACAAGCGGCCGTGGCCGACGGCGACTCCAAAAGGGTGGTCGAACTCGCCGAGGTCGGCGCCGATGCGTGGGTCTTCGCCTTCGTACTCGACGCCCCAATCCAGCATGTCCTCCCACAGCTCTTCTGTCACTGCGGCGTCAAGGCCGATGCTGCGAACGTGCATCCCATCCGCATGCCGAAAGACCTGCACTCGGTGGTTGCCCCTGTCCGCCACGTACACGGACTCGCCGTGCACCGCCATCGATGTTGGGAGGAATAGCTCGCTCCGACCCTTGCCCCAGCCGCCGAAGCTGTGCTGGAACTCCCCCGTCGAAGCCGAAAAGACGGAGACGCAGTGATCCGTCGTCTCCCCGTTCCGTTGAGAGAGGACAAGCAACGCATCGTCCGCGATGGCAACGTCCTCAGGAAATGCGCCGTCGCCGAGCTGGCTTCGCTCGATCTCGTGGAGGCGCAGCTTCTCCTCCAGGTCAACCTTGACCACACTGTAGCGATCGGATTCGACCACCCAGGCGAGGCCGTCGGCCATCAGAGCTACGGCGGAAGGCGTCCGGAGCGTTTCGACAACCTCTCCGTCGTCAATATCGGGGGCGCAGAGCTGCTCTTCGAAGGCCGCGGGTTGCGAACAGAGCACATCCAGGCGATGCTGCTCATAGTTTGGCACAAGCACCGCCTCGCGCCCGGGCATGGCGACCACTTGGGTTGCATAGCCAAACTCTCCAACGGAGCGCAGGTGGCGCAGCTGGCCGAGAGGGAGCAACATCTTCTCATGCCAGGCATCGCGCCACAGGTGACACACGCGCGCCGTGCGCAAGTCCGTGAGGGGCAGCGACGAGAGCACCGGTGCGATCAGGTCTTGCGACAACAGAACGGCGGCTGCGAGCTGCTCGGGCAGTTTCGACGCGAGCATCGCGTCTCCGAGAATGCGCGTGGCGCGGCACTCGCGCATGCCGCTGGCCGCGATCTGGAGGAGATCTTCGTGCGAGAGGTTCTGCAGGCAGGCGTGGTAACGCATGAAGCTGAGCGCGTGCTGGGCGACCCAGAGCAACACGGCCAACAAACCAGCCTGGGTTCCGGCTCCAAGCCGGGTAGGGAGTTACCGCGCTGGGAGGTTCTCGGGTGGATATCCTTTGGCCGCGTTGCGTTGCGAGGATTGGTGTGACGCGCACTGTGTTTCGCCTTCCTAATCAATCAGCCACTGACTCGCGCCAAAACGCCCTACACCTATTGCGGGCGCCAACCGCCAGGCTCTGCGAGCGAGTGTCCTCATTGCCGCGTGCCAGTGATGTGGCTCGCCCCCCGCCGCCCGTTGATGTCACTTGTGTTGTCAAAGCACAGGCTTACGGCCACACAGCAACGTCCCAATATCGATAAAAATCTAAAAAAATGAAAGACGAGCTCAAAAAAAGAGGCTAAGCTCAAAAAAAGAGGCGTTTTCGTTGGCACTAGCTCGGCACTCCCCGTCCGGAAGAAGCACCCCCGGGTTCCTCCCAAAACCTCGCATGATGCTGCCAAGCATGCGACGCTCCGCCCTTGCGCCGTTCCGCCTCCGGCCGACCGCCGTCTCCCGGCGGTGCAGCACCGAGGTGAGGCCGCTTGCAGCCGTACTCGCCGCCGAATACGGCCGCAGACAGAGCGTGGAGCACAAGCTTGGCACGCTCGACAAGACGCAGCTGTCAGACGTCCTCCTCGGCTTTGTCAAGCGCGGTGAGCTGGCGTCGTCGCATGTTCTCGAGAACATGCCGGCGGTCAAGCCAGAGATCGATCACGGTGCAGAGAGGATGCTCAACGCCCCACCGCTGTCCGACCTCCGCTTTGCTCTCGGAACCGCCGTGGAGTGCCGGCTCGGAGTGGACGAGTGGGTGCGCGGCGTCGTCATCGGGCACCACTACCGCGAGGCCTCCTGGCCGGAGGAGCAGCTTGCTCCTTACCAGGTTGGTACTCTGAAGTCGTCTCCTCCTCAGCACGCGCCTCGTCCCAGACACAACACCTCACGCCTGTTAGGTCCTGCTCGACGGAGACGACCTGACGTCACGCACAGTCTGGGCACCGGCCGACTCGGACGCTTGTATCCGCGCGACAGTCCGCTTCAGCATCGGCGCTGCGGTGGAGTGTTGCGTCGGGCAAGACCAGTGGCTGCCCGGCATGGTCGTGGCGCACTACTACCGCGAGGCGAATTGGCCGATGGAGATGGTCGCGCCGTATCGAGTCCTGCTCGACAATGTGAGAGCGAGCGTCTCTGCCAGTAGACAGAGCCTTGCTGCGCCGTCTACCGGCACGACCCTCTGCCCTCCCCTCCGTCCCCTCCCGCGCAGGCGAGCCTCAGCAATGGACTGACCGAGGTGTTTGTGTGGGCGCCGCTCGACACCGACGACTGCATCCGGGCGATGCCGCCCTTCGACGTCGTCGAGTTCCTCGAGGCGAGGCGCGCGGCGCAGGAGGCGGAGGACGCCAAGACGATGGAGAACTTCAGCGTCGCCGGCTTCCTCGAGGAGAGGCGCGCCGCGCAAGAGGAGGCACGCCGCGCGGACGAGGCTGCGGCCCGTTCGCCCGCCGACGAGGAGTTCGCCGGCAAGGCTGGGCTCTTTGCTGCACTCTCCAACGAGCCGCGCGGAGAGCCAGCAGAGAAGCGGAGCACCGGCTGATCGCCCACACCCTATCTCGCGGGCATCTCCCCGCAGCGCGCAGGGTCCCGCACAAGCAGCACCCACGCAGACTAAAGTACTCTTTCGCCTTTGTTTCGAGAACGGCTTTGTTCGCACCGCCGAACACCAACCACCAGTCTTTAGCTTTTGAGACCGAAAGTGTTCGTTTGACATGCTCTCGATGGAGCTTGGAGGTGCTCTGCCTGCCCGAGCAGCCTGCTGGCGCGTGGCGGCGAGGGCCGAGGGAGGGTGGCCGGTGCGATCGGTGCACGGTGGCGGGCGCGGCTAAAGTATTATAGACGATTGCACCGGTTGTGGCGACACTCCTCACTCGCGACGGACAGAGTGTGCAGAACGACACACTGTTGTATCATGGGGAACGCGGTGCGCCTGCGGCGGGCCGCACCACCACCCTTGGCAGCACAAAGCTGCGCCAGAGGTCCACCAGCCCCGGCGCCGCCCCCTCGCCGTCGAAGCGCTCCTCGTCCCACGCGATCAGGTAGCCCAGCCGCATCACCTCGACCGCCCGCTTGCGAGCCGCCTCTGGGAAGAGCTCGTGCGACTGCGGCGACCACTCCGCCACCTTGAGGATGAGCCTGCCCACCTCCACCGCCTCAGCCGCTGGCTCCAGGTTGGCCGGCCTGAGGAAGGGAAGAGGCGTGGGGCGTGTCCAAAGAGAGGATCCGGCGAGTGGGGGAGAGGCCGTAGCGCGCCTCAGTGCGAGGGCCTTGGCCTCGCCCGCCACGCGCACGCCGAAGCGTCCCGTCGAAGCGCTTGCGGAGACGACGACGCCGACCTTGCCGTTCATCGACGGCCGCGAGACCAGAGAGTGGATCGCGACGGTGGAGCCGGCGGCCGCAGCTGTCGTATCCGACTCGCTCCACGAGCAGAGGACGCGCGCCCGCTCGAGGGCAGAAGGCTCGCCGGCTAAAGAGTCCGCACCGCCGCGCAGCAGCGACCGCGCCCGGTCGACGGTGAGCGCCTGCGGGAAGAGGGACAGTGATAGGACAATGCACTCACGCTTCTTCAGCCGCTAGTCTCGGGCACGCCTCGAGGTGCTGGAGCGGCGTCCAGCCGCGGCTGGCGACCAGCCAGGCGGCGAGGTCGGCGTGGCCTTTGCGGTTTGCGATCTCCTCGGGCGTGCCGAAGGGCGGCACCGCGGCGCGGGAGGCGCCGTAGGAGGAGAGGAGCTTGGCGAGCTCGAGGTGGCCCTCCTGGCACACGATGTACAGCGGCGTGGAGCCATCGTTGCGGGCTTGGCTGCTCGCCGCGCCCGCCTCGAGAAGCAGCCGGGCGCACTCGAGGTGGCCCTGCTGGCATGCGATGAGCAGCGCCGTGGCGCCTTGCTCGTCGGCTTGGTTGATCGCCGCGCTGGCCTCGAGGAGCAACCGGACGATTTCGAGGTGGCCCTCCTGGCACGCCATGTACAGCGGCGTGGTGCCGTCGTTGCGGGCTTGGTCGAGCGCCGCACCGGTCTCGAGAAGCAGCCGGACGATGTCGACGTGGCCCTCCTGGCACGCCATGAACAGCGGCGTTACGCCGTTCTCTGTTGCTTGGTCGATTGCCGCGCTGGCCTTGAGGAGCAGCCGGGCGCACTCGAGACGCCCCAGCTGGCATGCAACAAACAGCGGAGTGAAGCCGCCATTCACGGCTTGGTTGACTGCCGCGCCAGCCTGCTGGAGCAGCCGGGCGCACTCGAGGTGGCCTTCCAGGCACGCGATGAACAGCGCGGAAGCGCCGCGGCCGTCAGCCGCCCCGACGCTCGCGCCGGCTTCGAGCAGCAGCCGCACCGCATCGGCCTGCCCGTGCCGAGCGGCCCAGGTCAGCAGCGTGTCTTGCGTGTCGGTGTCGAGCCGCGCGTCGAGCGTCCCGCGCGTCCGCCGCCCGGAGAGGAAGGCTCGCAGCGAGGCCAAATCGCCCACCGCCAGGTCGCCCACCGCCAGATCGGGCAGCAGAGTTGGGCTTTCGGTCATGGGCTAAACAAGAAAAACCACGAGATGTTTTTTCTATTTTCTCCGGTCCCCCTTCCTGCTGGGCGCCTACCGGCCAATCGCTGTCGTGCCCGGGCGCAGACCACAACGCCGGACTCGCGATGGAGGCCGGCAGCGCAGTGCCGGCCCGCTCCTACACCTACGACGGTGCCACGCCGCAGAGTCTCGCCACCTTCCTGCTTCGCGAGTGCCGGGAGCATTTTTGCGCTTACGGGCACTGCAAGCGCGCGCTCAGCAAGGGCCGCGTGAAAGTCGACGGCGTCGTCGCGCACGCGGGCGCCGTCGTCGCGGCGGGACAGGTCGTCAGCTTCGAGCCCACGCACGAAGTGCGGCTCATGCAGGACGCGGCGGGCAGCACGCACCGCCGCATCGTCTACTACGAGAGGGTGCCCGTTGTGGCGGAGACCGACCACTGGGCATGATTGATCAGCCGCCTGGCTTCGCGATGGCATATGCCCACCACGCGTCCCTGACGTGTCCATTTAGGCGGTCGTCCTCAAGCCGCCCGGCCTCGTGAAGGACTGATGTGGCCGAGGCTTGGCTGATGAGTAATGGTGAGTGAAGAGTCAACATAGGCCTCATGATGGACTCGGCGGCGGCGACATCTCACGAGGGAGCCAAGGCGCTTCTGCACGTTCATCTGGCCCTTCTCCGAACCTCTCCGAACCTTCTCCGAACCTTCTCCGAACCTTCTCCGAACCTTCTCTGAACCTCTCCTCTGCGCCGAGGCGTCGCTCCGCACGCTCGCCGCGATCCTGCCCTTCAGCCTGCGCCCGACCTCCGCCGCGGGCGCGCTGCTCATCCCGGCCGCCGCCCGCCGCCGGCTCGGCGAGGGAGGGACGATTAAGATTAGGCCTGAGCTTATTGCTGTTGCTATCAGGCCGCCGTCCACCGCCTCGACGCGCCCGTCGGCGGATTCGCGGCCTGCTCACGGACGCCTCTGGAACCTTCCCTGACCTTTCTGCGAAGCTTCCTTTAGGTGGCCTGGTGGCTTGCGCGAAGACGCGGTCGGCAGCGCGACGGCTGCAGGCACTGTTCAGCGAGCGGCGCGTGCGGAAGAGCTACGTCGCCGTGCTCGCCGGCACGCCGCCGTACTAGTTCTCGGCTAGATCTCGGCTAGATCTCGGAGCCTTCCCTCTAGGCACGCCGCCGTGCGAGAGCGGGGTCGTCCACTCGCCGCTCGAGGGGAAGGACCTGGACACTTCCGCGACATGTCCTGGACACGTCCCGTAGGTGGTCCGCTCGCCGCTCGAAGGCAAGGAGTGCGTCACTTTCTACCGCCTCCTCGCCTCGCAGCCGAGCGCGCAGTTCGGCTCGCTGTCCACCGTCGAGCTGCGGCCGCACACGGGCAGCACGCACCAGCTCCGCCGCCTATTAATTCTCAACGTGTGACTGGTGAACACGGATTACTAGGCCGCACGCACCAGCTCCGCCGCCACTGCGCCGAGGTGCTTCGCTGCCCGGTTTCTCTGAACCTGCTCCGAGCCTCTCTGAACCTGCTCTGTACCTTCTCTAAGCCCTCCTCTGAGCCGTCTCCCGATCGTTGTCTGGCCTTCTCTGAACCTCATTTCAACCTTAAAGGTGCTGCGCTGCCCGATCGTCGGCGACACGACGTACGGAGGCGAGCGCGTGCGAGCGTCGCAGGCCCTCTACTTGTGGGCGGCGAGGCTGGAGTTGGGGGTGGCGCGCGAGGACGGCGAGGGAGGCGATGGCGGCGAGGGAGGCGTCGAGGGTGGCGACAGCGAGGTCGGCGAGGGCGAGAGCGCTTTAGGCGCAGAGGCGGGTTCGGATGCTGCCGCGGCCGAGGGCACGGCAGAGGAGGAGGAGGCCGCGGGCGACGAGCTCGGCCTGGCGGGCCGCAGCTTCTCGGCGCCACCGCCGGAGAAGTTCGACAAGCTGCTGGCAAGAGACCGAAGGGCTTGGCAGTGCGCCACGGCTCGGGCGGGCGGCGTAGCAGGGCGTGAGCTTGCCGCGAGAAGAGAAAGTTAAAGCCGTAGTATTGATTGTTGGCGGCGAACCCCGAGAGCCGAGAGACTCTTTTAAGAGAGAAGGTGCATAAAACGAAGACCGCTCCGCCGGGTCAATTATCCCCACCGAGTTTTGTCCTGGCCAAGAAGCAGACGGGGCCAGACGCGGCACGCGGGTCTCGCGGGGCGCGGTTGGCGCTTATCATCTCACACATCAGGTCCTGAGCTGGGTCTTCGTCTGCGGACGCGCCAGCTGATGCGTGATGGTCCGATGCGTGGCTCCGTTTACATACCGACTTCCGGGCCCGTGCGCGCTGCGCGACTGCGGCCTCCCAGCACAGAGCACACACACGAAGCTCACACAGACACACACCAAAAGGCATGGTGCGCATCATCAGGCCTCAGCCGCAGTCGAACGCGACTTGTCGTTCGGCTTGTACTGGCGGCCTGTGCGTCTGCGATCAGTCCTCGATGAAGCCAGCGTAGACATAGCCGGCCAGGAGCACGGCCGGCATGATGGACGTCGTGAACGGAGCTCCGCCTCGGAAGTTGGTCAGGAGCCAAAGAGTGAGTGGGATGCAGTTGAGCGAGGCGAATCTCTTGGCCGCCTCAACCCCGCCCATCACGGCCGAGAGCTTGCCGACGGCCCAGCCAATCATGGCGACCGCAATGTACTTGTCGTGCGGGAAAGTGTTGAGGCCTGCGGCAACGCACGTTGCTCGTGGTGGAGCGGAGAGGCAAACGCGTGGGAGCAGCAGCGCTGATGCGTTGCTGCGGTTCGCTGCGGTTTGACGCGCTCGCAGTGGCGGGGAAACGCACCCAGCCAGATCATCTTGGTGATGGACTCAGTGCCAAGGTACATCGACACCCCAGTTGCCGCGCCGATTGCGGCTGAGGCGCCGACGACCGCGGTCCCGATCGTGTCGCCGCCGCGGAGGCGCGTCAGTGAGCGAACATTCGGCTTAGCGAGGTGCTTCTCCTGCGTCAACGTGAGCGCCGCGGCCGACGAACACGCCAGCAGAACGAGGAGCTGTGGGATGCGGATCGTCATGGTTGAGTGTCGCTGGATTGCGAACTCATCTGGTCATCAGCTGTTCACAGCCTTGTTATTGAGAAGAAAATACCTCGTATGGCGCTGTGCGCTGGCCTGTGGGAGGTTGAGGTGCGAGCCCTGGAGGCCCTGGGGATGGGGGGGGACTACCCTTCACAGCCTTCTATTATTCGGCATTGAGAAGAAAGTATGAGGATGCTATGGCGCTGTGCGCTGGTCTGTGAGAGGTTGAGGTGCGAGCCCTGGAGGCCCTGGGGATGGGGGGGGACTACCCTTCACAGCCTTCTATTATTCGGCATTGAGAAGAAAGTATGAGGATGCTATGGCGCTGTGCGCTGGTCTGTGAGAGGTTGAGGTGCGAGCCCTGGAGGCCCTGGGGATGGGGGGAGACGACCCGCGGGCCTAGAAGGCCCGCTCGCTTCACAGGTCCTAAATAAATAAAGACACCTCTACTGTGAGATGGGTAAAAAGGAACACGATCTTTGTGCAGGGTTCTTTGTGGGTGTGGTCGGCGACTAGCCGGGGTCGTCCTCCCGAACCCCTTCCCGAACAAGCGAAGGCACACACAAGGTCGTCCAACTCCCGAACAAGCGAAGGCACACACAACATGACGCCAAAAAGGATTTTTTGGCGGGCGTTTTGGGCTGCGCCTGCCTTCATCATCCCGGCCGGCGTGTTGACTTGGAAGGCCATGCCAGGTGAGATGCCCTCCGGGATAACGACCTGCGGATCTTCGTCATCACACGCACGCATCGACGCATGCCGCTCGGAGCGTATGGCGAACGGATTTCCCCAAGGGCTCTTGGGGTGTGTGATAGAGCGAGCTGGGGATGGGTTGGGATGGGTGGGGATGGGTGGGGCCCATAGCTGGGGACACTACTAGGTCACGCATGGCATCACAGAAGTTTTATCTCTGGGCCCCGAAAGGCATCTCTAGCAGCGTCGTTACGGCTCCCACCCCTCCTGGGCGCATACGCCTCACATCTCGCCAGAGCATAAGCTCTTGGTGTGCGACGAGACGAGTTTTTCGCCATCGCCGCGAGCAGCAAGCCGCCCGCCGCAAACAGCCGGAGGCATCGCCGCAGCACCGGCTGCGCCGCGGTCCCGCACCCGTCGACGACGCTCCCCCCGCGGAAGACCGCGCGTAGCGACGCCTTGACGATCGAGATGAGCGCGCTCGAAGCTCGCCCCCCCCCCCCCCCCACACACACGGATGGGTGGGGATGGGTGGGGACCTCGGGGATCAGCGGGACACGTCGGCCGCACGCTCTACAGCTGTGCATGCACATGTACATGTACATGTCATGTTGTTGTCATGTTGTACGTCAAATCAACCCGTCGGCGAGGCGCCCCCCTTTTACGCGAGGAAACAAAGGATCGATCAAGAAAAGAATTTTACCCGCAACGCACGCGCTGGATGGCGCCTAGCACAATGTCCTTGATGCATTGCTCCATGCTGTGCCGTGACTGGCGCAGGTCTGTTCGAGCGGCGGGCCCTGTCTGTCTGTCTGTCTGTCGGCAGGTACTTAAATTTCCGGCGGCCAGGAAACCCCCGGGAACTAACTTGCGGGAAAATCCTACCTCCAGGTCCCCGGCCACGCAAAAAAGAATACTCGAGCTCAGGCGCCGTCGGTGAACGGCGGTCAATCCCGCAGGTCCAACCGAACTGTACCCCCTGCTGGCAGCCATGTACCGGCGTACCCCGCTTGCAGCTACGGCAGGCAACGAGCAGGACGCGGGGCTCCTTTGCCTCTCACAGGTTGCGCTGGCATGCGAATTGTCGGCTCGACGAGAGGAGATTTACTTTGGTCGCTCCTTGGGCGACCAGACCAAGCCGGACGCGGCCTCGGGCGTGATAGTGGGCTCAGGCGCAGGTCCGTGCCGCTCGGCTTTCCTCGCCACCGCCACCGCCACCGCCACCGCCACCGCTCCAATGCCGAACCCCTTCCCCCATGCCGACACCACCCCGCTGCTATCGCCGATGCTGTCGCCGATGCCGATGCCGTCGCCTCCGGCGTATGCGCTGCCGTTGACGATGGCGGTGCCGGTGGCGATGGCGGTGCCGATGACGCCGTCGCTGCTCTACTATGGGGTAGGTGTCTCGCCTGCACCCCCCATTTCCCAAAGGACGGCCCCTGCCCCACTCGACCTCCATCCCGCTCGACCGAGCTTGTACAACTTCTTCATGAAGGACGAGATGGCGCGGCTCAAGGCGGCCAACTCGGAGATGTCGCACAAGGAGGCGTTCAAGCAGGCCGCGCGCAACTGGAGCACCGCCGACGCCAACCCGCAAAACCAAAAGCGCGGCAAATTTGACACGATGTGGAACGTGCCCCCGCCCGCCGAGGGCGAGGGCGGCGGCCGGGCGCCCTGATGGGGAGGGGTGGGAGGGAGGCGGCGGCGCGCTGGCGCGTACTATATGAAGGAGGGATCTACAACGCTCGCCCAGGGATCTACAATGCTGTCTTAAGGTCCGACCTGCGGGCACCGCCTGCGCTCGGCACCAGGCACCGACTCGGTATATTGGGTATACAAAATGCGCCTGCGGGCGGAAGTCCACCAATGACCGAAGTCGAGAGCCGTCTCTCTGTGTGTATACGAAGGTCGTACACACAAACTGCGCTGCGGGCGGACGCCCTCAGCCCACTTCTCAGCCCCTCACAGCTCACAACAGGTTGCGCTTGGCGCTTGGTGGGTCAAGGGGGGCACTAGCACTTGGTACTGGTGGGTGGTGGCACTAGGCGAAGTGGCCAGGGGTGCAGGGCAACCCCCTCTGACTCTTACTGCCCCTCGTGTGGTCCGTGTGGTGGCGGCGTGTGCCGTCCTCCTGCACCGTCCTCTCCCTCCCTTGGCTTGCCTGCGCTAGTTCCTTTCTTTCTCTGTTCCCGAGATGATCATCAGCACCAGCCCAAGCTCGTAGCATGAGTGAGCTGTGAGCTCTGTGAGGGTCGGCCGGCAGGCAGATTTTATATACCGAGTCGGTGCCTGGTGCCGAGCGCAGGCAGAGCCCACAGGTCGGAGACCTTATAAGACAGCATTGTAGGAGTATTGAGTAAGTATTCTTGATACGAAACCACGACGACACACACCAGTCGACTCGCATCGGTAGTGTGCTCGATGTGACGTACACCAGTACACATACATCAGAACGACACATGTATCGTGTTCTCACACCAGCCGGGCCGTAAAACGCTCTCGAGAGCCACAAGAAGGCGTTTGCACAGCAAGCCGCTCGTCGGACAGGCGTGCTCGCTCGATGTCGGCGAGCGCATGGCGCAGGCTTTGTTTGGACACGGTGGCGAAGCCAAAAACACCGATGGTGGCCGTCCGCTGGCGCGAGCGGCGGCGGTCGAGACCTCACCTTCGTTCGCGCCGGCGACCAACCTCACCAATGTTAGGGGATGGTGAAGACGCACGAGAGCCGGAGGCTCGTGACGCCTTCGGGTTTCTCCATCGCTTGACACCATTTCGGTCGTTTGTCACCGAGTTGGGCAGAGACGCCGTCGCAATTTAAAGAATTTTTGCGCGACTCCCTAGCACGACACTAGGCACGGGACTGGCGCGCACTGGCACTAACACAGGTACACATAAAGAATTTAAACCCGGAATGACGCGCACCTGACAGCACAAAAGTCTAGACAAAAGTGTGTGGTGTGGTGTGTGTGTGTGTGTGTGTGTGTGTGTGTGTGTGTGTGTGTGTGTGTGTGTGTGTGTGTGTGTGTGTGTGTGTGTGTGTGTGTGTGTGTGTGTGTGTGTGTGTGTGTGTGTGTGTGTGTGTGTGTGTGTGTGTGTGTGTGTGTGTGTGTGTGTGTGTGTGTGTGTGTGTGTGTGTGTGTGTGTGTGTGTGTGTGTGTGTGTGTGTGTGTGTGTGTGTGGCCTGATCGTGCTTGTGCCGTCGCTTTGTACAATCTCTGGCAGCGCTCTGGTTCCACGCGCACATCCCTCCACCGATGACTACACTTGCCAGACTTGATCGACACCGCATCGCCTCCGCCCTCACCGGGCTCTCATCGGCTCGACGAGGGCGGAGACATTGACGCCTTCGCAAAATCAAAGATTTTTTCCGCGGCTTCGGGGGGGCAAACCCTGCCCGCCCGCCCCCTCCCCGTACACCAGCTACCCACACACCCTTCGTTGGAATCCCCTAGCCCGCACACCGCACCGATGGTTGTGAGTCCCACGCCGGACCCGCGTTCTTCGTATTTCATCCTGGCACCGGTGAACCCTCACTGTTTGTTTTCCTCGAAGGGGAGCCGGTAGAAGAAAAAGGACAGCTGTTGAACTACTGGCGTAATTCTTACGAGGCGATGAGGTGGATCACTTGGAGGATAAGTACCGAGCGTTGGGAGAGGGATAAAGCTACTAGAGCTGCGCATGAATTGGGTCTGAACTTCGCATGGATCGACGGGCAGAGATATCAGGTGTCCTTGTATGAGGGACAGCTGTCACACTTGTTTTCACACTTGCAGCGGCCTCCTCGAGCTGAAGCGCCTCCTGCCCACGCTCGCGCAGAAACTTCGCTGTGGTTTCAGGAATTGCCCAGGTGGACGTTCCGAAGAGTGATGTGTGGTGCGTGTACTCGTGTAGCTGATCTGTTTCGATCCATTCCCAGCTCCTTGCGCCCTCCGACCCACGCACCGATGAGAAGTTCCTCTTCGCTTTGATCAGACAAGTGAGGTGAGACAGAAAGTAGCCCGAGCCGGCCGCAAAGCCGACGCCCGAAGCAAGGCTGTATTCCATGGAGAGCCATACAGCGATTCCAATGAGCAGGCTTGTGATGGCGATTGTGAGCCCGATGACAGGTCCACCAATGCTCCCCGGGAACGATACGAGGTAGCGCAGTACCATGTAGTGCGGAAGACCCTCGGTGAAGACAAGATTAACGATGCACTCCAGGGTGATCTTAATCAAAAACAAGCCAGAAGTCCAGACCGAAGTAACGTAGAGGATCTGAAGGGTGCAGCCTGCATCAACATCATCGTTGTCGCATGAAGGCGGATCCTGCTGTATCATTGCGAGAGCCACAGTCAGCAGCAACGCTGACACGAGCGCAATGTTCGTGTAGATATTGCGAACGACGTCCTTAGCGTGCGTAACATCCCGCATCTCCTTCACCACATCAAATGTGATCTTAGACATAAGCTGGAGGCCGCCACAAAGAAAGATCTCGAGGAGGATCGTCGCCGCAGGATAGACGAGGGAGATGATCCACTGCTCAGACGATGCCTCCATTCGATTTACCGCGTCGGGTGTTTCTCGAGCCCGATCGCTGCACAGCAGCACTGCACCAGGTCCTCGATGCGGTGCGTGAGAAGCGCCGAAGGCCAGCAAGGACGTGCACGCCGAAGGCCAGAAGTATTCTCAATGTACGTACTTTCTCTCAATGTATGTGGCTCTTACGTACATTCTACAATCGGGGAGAAAAGCAAAACGCGTGCCAGCAACCCCTGTCAGCAGTACTCCTCCGGGAATGTACTTAAGAGCTACATCCACTGAAAAATTAAAAAAAAAGAGCGAACAAAAATCGAGCACGACGTCGTGACGTCCGATTGCTTGGTCATGAACGATAAAGGGCACGGCGCGGCGGCCGAGCCTGCGCCTACTCGGCGGCCATGCTGGTCCCGGAAGCGCATCTGCCTCGCCTCGTGCTGCTGCACAGCACTCATAGCCACGCTCATCACGCTCGTCCTCTTTCGTGAGGTACTCTGGCCACCCGACAACTCGCGCTTTTATTACCTGCGGCCGCCCCTAACTCCTCCTTCGCCCGCCTTTCCCCCGCCAAGCTCACCAGCGCCAAGCTTTCCTCCGGCGCTGCCCGACTTGTGGCCGCAGCGTCCACCGCCTCCTCCATCGCCTCCACCGCCACCTGTGGCCCCACCGCTGGCTCCTCCGAGGCTCATCAGCTCTGCAGGTTTTGCCCTGGGAGGGTGCTACAAGTGGCGCAACCTCGGCTGGATCAATCCGAGCTTCTCGCTTGCCGCGCGCTTCTTGTCACTTGAACAAGGTGTCGCTCGCGGAGCTATCATCGACGGACGCGTGGACGGACAGGCTCTGGCGACGAGACAGGTGGCGTTCAGGGACGAAGGCACGAAGTGGGTCCTGTCTGGCGCCGTCTGCCTCGAGGACCGCTCGTGCTTTACGGATGTGTGGATTCGCGACGACGACGGCGAGATCTGCATCAGGCAAGGCCCGCTGACCGAGTGCACCGGGAAGAGTGGCGACAGCGTGCGCAAAGTATCTTGTCTGGTCCTCTCGTCGAGAGATTAAGCTCGGGTGTGCTCTCGCACGCCGAGGGGTAAATTTGCTTTCAGCGCACGCCGAAATTTGCTGACAGTGAAGCTATCCATGCACTCGCTCTATCCTCTGGCGCACGCAAGTCGGACGATGCGGCGCTCACCTTCCTCGCGCAGGGCATCAAGGCGTGGCTGGAGGCGCAGCTGCCCATGTATGCCGTGTCAAGTTCTTGCCCGAGCTGGAGCGTGGCTTGGCCGCCGCAGCCGCCACACGTGCGCCCGCGCCTGACTTTGGCGACGACGAGGAGCTCGAGGAGGCACGCCGCGCACGTCCGCCACCGGCTCCGCCGCCCCCACCGCCCCCGCCTGACTTCTGAACCAGCCCGTACGGGGAGGGCTGGGGATGGCTGGGGATGGCTAGGGATGGGTGGGGGGATGGGTTGGGACCTGGGGGATCGCTGGGGATGGATCCGGATCGAGCGTGTGGCAAAACATTGATGCAATGCGCTCATGAGTTCCTTGACAGAAGTAAACTTACATGTATTGACTGATGGCAATCCCAACGGAGGGGCATGCGTGTGATGACGAAGATCCTGCATCTGCTGCTGCATGGTCGCACACTGCGAATCAGAGTGCTCGCTTGGATCTGCCCGTTACAGTTCTGTACGTTACAGCCGAAAGGTTCTACTGTAAGATACGTTCGGAGACGAGCCTTCAGTGGCAGAAACAGAGCCAAAAGACTCGCCAACATAATGTACCTTGCTTTTAGGTTTGTTGTTGGCAAATCAAGACACAGAGCTCACACAGAATCACAGTGGGAGGAAAGCGGCGAGTCGCAATTCCTGGGGTCCTTGTGGCGGGCCACCCTGTCCAGAAAGGCATGGATGCCGATCTGGGGTCTCTCGACCGAGTCTATGAGTCCTGGCCGCTCCCGGTGGTGGCAAGGTTATAGAACCAAGCGACGGAGATGGTGGTTGGTGCGGGGGTACGGGTGTTCCAGGTGGTCGCTAATATTTCTGTGCGGCTGGATCAATCCGAGCTTCTCGCTTGCCGCGCGCTTCTTATCACTTGAACAAGGTGTCGCTCGCGGAGCTATCATCGACGGACGCGTGGACGGACAGGCTCTGAGAGGCTCAATCAATACGCCCCGCCCGGCGGGAGTACAGTACTGCACAAGAGGCGTCAACCAGTACCACTCACCGCGCCGTAAGAAAAGAAAAATCCTTTTTTGGTACCCAACAGACACCACTCGCTCAGCTTTTCACCATGGTCTCAGCTCTCATCAGCCCTCGCGCAGGCGTGCGTGCGACGGTGGCGCTCGACCTCTCGCGACCCGATCGCTACATGTACGACAATCCGTACGCCCCCGAGGGCATGGGCCGCGAGTACATCAACGAGCCCAACGTGCGCCGACCGCTCGCCGACTATGTTGGCGCATCAGAGGCGTCTGCGCACCACGGCCTGCCAACCCACGCCCCAGCCCTAATGTAGCACGCCGGCGCCGCCAGGAGCTGAACCTCGGCGCCTACTTTGCGGGAGAGACAAAGTTTGAGCCCTGGGACCCGCTCGGGCTTTGCCTGCTCTCCAAAGTCTCCGCCAACAATCCGGATGTCGCCTTCTTCCGTGAGGCGGAGCTGAAGCACGGGCGCATGGCGATGCTCGCTTTCGTCGGCATCGTCGTCACGACGGGCGGGAAGCACTGGCCCGCCGAGGCGTTTGCCCAAGCGACGGCCGCGGGCTGGCCAGACTCGCTAGGTACGGCCTCCGGCAGCGTTTAATTTCGCGAAACGGCTCCGCTCTCTCATTCCTCATCCGACGCACTCGCCCGCAGGCACGCTCGCTCTCTCACTCCCATCCGACGCACTCGCCCGCAGGCACGCTCGCAAAGACGAACCCCGGCATCGTCGCGCAGGGCCTCGCCACCGTGGGCATCATCGAGGGCGCGAGCAACACCAACCGCGGCGCTTGGTGGGACGGGCTCTGGTTTGGAGAGAGGCCCGACTCGCCCGTGGTCGCCGGCGACCTGGGCTTCGACCCGCTCGGCGTGATGCCAAAGGACCCAAAGGCGGCGGACCTGATGCGGCTCAAGGAGCTGAAAAACGGCCGCTGCCCCGCGAACGCCAACGTACTCACACGTCCCACCCAAGCGTCTCACTCCGGGGCACCCGTGTGTCTGAGTAGGACGCCTCGCCATGCTGGGTGTCTTCGGCCTCTTTATGCAGCCCCACTCGTGAGCGAGGGAATGACGCTGCGGCCAACGGACGACGACGCGCGCCGGGGCGGGAGGAGGGAGGAGGGTGGAGGCGGATTGCTGTTTGCTCTCGTTCGTCTCAGAAGACAGGACTCACACACTCAGCAGAGCAGCACCACGCGAGCAGCAGCACCGAAGCACCTCGGAATTTCGTCCTCTCCCATCTGCCATCTCCACACACAACGGTCAACGCACTTCCACTTGCCTAGTAGTACGTACGAAAAGGCACTGGGACTGGAACTGCCACGGCGACAGGCAAGCGCGGCTCCACCGCGCCCACAAGCACAACTCGCGGCGCCGGCGGCTCGGCGGTGCCGGTGGTGATGGGGCAGCCTGCCACCACCGGAACCGGAGCCGTCACTGGAGGGCCTGGAGCAACCATAGCAGGACCGCCGTCCCCGGAGCCGCCGCTGTCCCCTCTCGAGAGGTTGAGCGTGCGGCGGCGGAACGCGTCGAAGCCGCCCGGCCGGTCGCGAAAGGTTTCGGGGTCGACCTGCAGCGGCGCTCCATCGGCGAGCGTCGGTCCGACTGCAGGCGCGTGACGCAGCTTCTCCACCGCGGCTCGGAGGCTGTGCGTGAGCGCGGCGGGGTCGGCGCAGACGCAGTTGAGCACGAGCTCGAGCTGCCACAGGCCGGGCGGGCAGCGGCCTCTGTGCTGCGCGAGCCGCCTCGCCGCCGCCTCGGAGGAGGAGCCGCGCGCCTAGAAGGTTCCTAGAGGGTTCCCAGAAGGTTCCTAGAAGGTTCCTCGGAGGAGGAGCCGCGCGCCAGATGACTCATCAGTAGCCCGTCCCCGGCGGCGACGGGCGCGGTCGCGCCGAGGCGCAGCGCGGGCGCGCGCAGCTCAGAGCGGTGCTCGCAGCCGGGGCGAGAGGCGTACAGCTTTAGGAGGAGCCGGCTGGTCGGGTGGCGGGTCGGCGCACCGGGGTTGTCCACGTGCCAGCCGCGCTCCTCGTCGCCGTCTGCGGCGGCACCGCGGCTGTTGGTGTTGAAGTGGGGAGTGCTCGCCTCACCTCCCGAAGAGAGCCGGAGCCAGAAGTGGCGCGGGTTGGCAGCGCCCGCGACGGGTCTCGCGTCGACAGCGCCCGGCACACTCCCCACGGCGGGACAGCTGGTAACTGCGCTCATCACACCGAGCAGTGCGGCGGCGGCTGGCCGGCCGGAGCGTGCGAGCGAGCTGAGCTCACCAAAGACCTCGTCGTCGCTGCAGTCGAGCAGGTACTGCGTCTGCCCGTGCCGCCGATCGCCCATCGCACGGCCGAGCCCGCAGGAGGTTAGCCGGGAGAGGACGGCCGACAGGTCCTCAGCCGGGAAGCAGGCGTGGAGGCTGAGGCCCGAGAGCGGGGTCAGCCCCTCCACCACGCGACGGAGAAGCGCCTCACTCTCGCCGGAGAGTGGCGGTTCCGCTCCGTCGACCGGCAGGCAGCATAGGCGCGGCGCAGCGTGGCCGTGACGCGCCCGGAGCTCCGCATCGAGTGAGGTGATGCGCTCCTCGGCCGAAGGAGGTGCACCGGAGGCACTGCCGCCGGTGCTGCCAGCTGTAGCTGCGTCGCCAGTAGCTGCGTCGCTGAGCATGACATGAAAGACAGCCGTGCAAGACCCACGCCCCACGGTGTTTTTCTCTCTCCCCCCAGTGTTTAACAACTTAGATCTATAAGAACTCTCGCATGGATGAAGCAAGAATGGATGCATACGCTTGAGAGAGAGAGAGAGAGAGCTAAAAGTACGTACGTACGTACGTACGCTTGAAGATGATGTAGAGCGCCCATTTCTTGGAAACAACTCTGTGAATTAGCCTAAGCACGTTTTTCTCGCCAAGTACTATCTATATTCTTTTGCTTATATTCTCGCCAGACCATCTATATTCTCGAGAATATTCTCGAATATTGAGAATATTTTCACCACGCGAGAGGTCAGCGGACGCCAAAAATCGCTCTAAAGCAGAGGTTTGTGCTCCCAAACCGCTCAGGAACGTCCAAAACTTAAAGATTTCCGTCTGCATCGACCCAAAACCTACTTTTGAGGGGGCAAAAGAGCTGTTTCGAGAAGCTCTAGTCAAGACCGTTCTAGACGCCGCGATGTAACGGCGAGAATATTCAAGAATATCTTGAGACTCGAGGTCAACCAAGGTCAAGGGCTGAAGAAAACTCATAGATTCTTGAGAAAAAGCCGCGCCGGGGCATCTATATTCTCGAGAATATTCTCGAATACGAAAGTGCGCGGGACCATCTATATTCTCGGAGATATTCGAGAATATTGTGCTTAGGCCAATCTGTGAAGCTATTTGGTTTTCAAAAATCTCTCTCTCTCACAAGTTCCAGCTGATGGAGGGATTTCATGTCGAAGGTCCGCGCAAGTTGGAAGTGGTGAGGAGCAGGACGGCGATGGGCTACATTCAGAAGGGCCAGCCAGGTATGGCAAACCTGGTGGATCGTGAGTGGGGCTGTGCCAACGAGCATGGAACTTTGGGCAGAAGCAGCTGGGCGAGGAAAAGGTGAACCGGCTTGTGGCCTCGGCGGTTGCACCTTTTGGTTCTGCGCTTTGATCGCGGCGCGCTTGTCCGCTTGGTAGCGCGTCGATCTCACGCTGACGCTGCTTGGGCGAGAGGGCGGCAAGGCGAGAGAACTCGGTCGCGAGCCAGTCGTCAGCCATGTGAAGACGACGCCGAACGAGGTGTGCGCGAGGTGTGGAGAAAAAATCGTACAGCATCACATCCCGCCCTGTTTCTTTTCTTTCTTTCTTTCTGGCGCTAACACGGAAAATTAATGTCGAGACCGCAATGGGCACGGGATGGCACGCACTGGCACGAAAAGAATTTTATTCAGAAGGTACAGGGTTCGAGGCGAGTCCTGATCCTGCGTAAAAAAAGCAAGGAGCTTCCGCCGGGTTTGGCATGCTTACCGCGCACCTTTGCAAGATCACAAAACGTCCTTCCAAGTCGCTCGTGAGCTGCCAGCCCACGCTGCCAGCCCACGGACAGCCCCAAAGCACGCCTCGCCGTGCCTCTCACTGTCTCCGCACGCCCTTACCACAGGACAACGATGGTCGACATGCTCCGCGCCGACCTCGAGCTTGCCACCTCGAAGCGCGACGAGCCGTCGCCTCCTCGCCGTCGCCTCCGCCGCTGTGGTCTTCCCCGTCTCGCCCAGTGCTGTGGTGCCCTCGCCCTTGTTCTCGCCCTTGTCGCTGGCCTCTTCGTCGGCTGGCGCCTCAACCCGGACCACGGCGTTGTACCCACGCTGCTCTGCCCGAACGTCATGGAGGGCCACAAGCTGTGCCACGACCTTCTCGGCCTGCCCGGACCGTTCCTTCCTCACGGCTCTTTCATCCAGCAGCAGTGCGAGAAGATGTGCGTCGACGCGGACACCAACGCTGGCAAGGTCTGCAGTGTCATCAAGCAAAAGCCCGGCCTGATCCCGTGCACGAGCGTCATCGACGGGCCGCGCACAGCGGAGGCGCTGGCGAAGCAGCTCAAAATGGAGTACAAGATCAAGCCAGGGCAAACGTGTTCGGAAGCGTTGAAGTCGACCTTCACTGATGTGGTGGCTGAGGACCTGGACGGCGCGGCGCGCCTGTTCTTTGAATACCTGCACAAGACGCGCCTTGACGCTCTCCTGCTGAAATTCCTCGAGGATCCAGAGAACCTCGGCCAGCTCACCCTGCTCAAGGCTCCCTACTTGAACAACCCGTTCGGCACGGGCATGACCTCGTTCAAAGCGGAGCTGGTGCGTACGCTGGCGACCATCCCGGCCGTCTCCGAAGTCATCTACAACAACAAGCGGAGCGCCTCCGTCCTGGTGGCGGAGCTGCTCGAGATCGTTGACCCGGCGCTCGGCGCCCAGGGCGACCCTCAAGCCCCGGTACCGGCCTCCGATTCTGTGGTGCACGGCGGTGCCTTCAAGCTCACGCCCACCCCCGACATTTGGGCCGAGTACGTCGAGAAGAACTACTTCGCGGGCCAGGGCATCTCGCTCCGCCGCAACGACCCCGAGTACCCGCTGCACGATCGGCTCGCCAATTACTTCCAGAATTCGTGGATGAGCATGCTCCTCTTCAACATCAACGGAGAAGACGGGGTGTACCGCTTCAGCTGCGACTACGGCCGCCTCTCGGCGCTCGGCGAGGCCGCGCCCCCGCTGATGCTGCACCTCGTCACCCCCGACCCCACCAACGAGACGACCATGGGTAAGACGCTGCTGCGCGGTGGCTCCGCCAAAGGTGAGCTGGTCTTCGAGATGGTGGACGGCAAGCTCCAGCCGAGCGACCGGCAGAGCAAGCTGGACGCAAGCCAGCTCGCGGCACTGCTGCAGTGCGCGCACAACGGCGCCCAGATTTATCATGTCGGCCTGCACGTGGCGTCGGAAGCGATGGCGTATGCGAGCCAGGACCTCGCACTCGGCCGCGAGGACCTGAGCGAGGACCCCGTCTTCCGCATGCTCAACCCTGGCGGCGACGCCACCTCGGACATCAACGTGGTGGCCAACGGCTTGCTAGTGAACGTGCCCGGCTTCGGCTCGCGTCCCCTGAACGCGTTCGACATGAACGCCCTCAAGCGCCACGCGCTCGTCCCCCTCCTCGCCGATCCGTGCAACGCGTCCCGCTACAACCCGCGCTACGACCGTCACGTCAGCAACGGCACGCTCGGCCAGCAGAGCCTCTTCAACCCCACTGGCCGCCGCGCTCTTGGCGTCCTCTGTGCCGATGTGCATGATTCGGCGATGGCTCTCAAGCTCCCGGAGCGCGCCCTCGGCCAGTACACCCGGCGGCTGACGTCACCGGCACCGGAGGGCCTCAACGTCACCCCCGAGCAGCTGAAGATGGAGCCCTTCGCGATCGAGCCGTACGAGCCGCCGATCTCCGCCATGATCATTGGTATCGAGCACACGATGACCTTCTCCATCAACTTTCTCTGGGCCGAGCTGGAGCGGCAGCCGCCAGCGGAGGCTCTGCCGTACGCCAACAGCACCAACCCGCGCGCCTTTGGCGCCGCCTTCTTCCTCGACGTTGCTTCCTCCGCAATCATCACGGCCTTCTCCGACGAGACGCGGGCAGAGTGCGCTGGGATCAGATACGAGGGCGATGAGCCCCAACAGACCTCTGTCACGAATGAGCAGCTCACCGTGGCCGCCTTCCCACGCTCCGCCGAACTTGGCTACGACATCAAGCTGCGCAAGATGGCGCGTGGGCTGAAGGCGCTCTGGACGGAGACGACGGTCTTCATGGCGAAGAACTACGCCGAATACCCGGTGATGAACGCCTCCTTCGTCTACGAGGTCGAGCGGTGCGTCGGCTCCTCCGCCTGGATCTGAGAGAGGGCTCCAGAGGTGGAAGCGTGTGTATCACGCGCCTTACGGGGAAGCGAGATTGGGCTTGGGAGCAACCTCGGTACGGTCGCACTGTTGGTTGGCGCGCCTCGCCTCCTTGCGCGGCTTGGGTGAGGGACAGCGCGTACCATCCTGCTTGCTCGCGGGCACCGGGCAGCGTCCGAGGAATGTCGAGAGAGAGAGAGATGTACAGTGGTCGAGATGTATGTACAGTTAGTAATGTCTACTGATAAAGGAAAGGCTACTAGTACACTCTCTCGGGTCCGCCATTAGTCGCACCGCACTTCAGCGCCGCCATGCCGCCTCGCACGCGTCGGAGCGCTCGCACGGGCGCGGCCTCAAGCGCGCCCTCAGCGCTCAGGCAGGGCTCACATGAGGGCTCACTCACCGCACACATTGGGCGCGGATGCGACGTTGGGCCGCTGTGCGGCTGCGAGCTCAAGGAGTGCCAGCGCGAGGAGCTCTCGCATTGGGCTTGATGCCACACCAGCTGCCCCTGGGTCAGGGCAAGAGCATCACTTGATGCGACTTCGAGTGTGCGCTGCACGCGGCAGCACGGCGCGCGCGACACATCATGCAGCTCATGCAGCTCCCCGCAACTTTCAAATTGAACTCAGTCGAAAATCTGTCTATTCTTATCTAAAGCTGCATTTCTCACTTTTTTAATCCGCTGAAACGTCTTCGGATCCGAAAGTATTTTGTACATTTCAATATTTAAATTGCCAAATCCCTATTGATATGTGAACACAAACACAAATATGATCCCAAATCCCAGGTCACATGCATAAATCTGGCCGCAGATATTGGAATGAGAAATGCAGCTTGTTGTAAGAAGTCTAATTTTCCGGATTCATAATAGTTTCTTCAGCGATTCTCGGATCGGCGGACTCTGCAAAACATGTAGGCACCCCAGGTCTGTCAAGAAATGCTGCACCACGAGGCACGAGATGTGCATGTGCTCAGAGCTTGCATCGTGTTCATTCAAGTTGCATTCAGCGTGTGTGGAGAGCCAGCAAAACCAAACGTGCTAATGATCATTCTGGACGACCTTCGGTATCTGCCTGATGGGCACAGGCCCTTCGTGCATACTCCCAACCTACTGAGGCTCACGCAACAAGGCGTGACCTTCACAAACGCGTTCTCCAACGGCGTGCATTGTGCTCCGTCCCGAGCATCGTTTCTCACCGGCATTCTCCCATCGCGGTCCGGCTTTATGGACAAGAAGCACAAGCTCAAGCAGTTTTCCCTCTTGAAAGACGCAGTACTTATCCCAGAGGCGTCAAGGCTGAGGGCTACGCTGTTGGGGGCGCTGGAAAGATCTTCCACACCGGCGACAAGCAACAAGTGTGGTCCGCCCGGTCAGTGCGAATGGGCGGGTACTATGAGTTCGGGGGAGGTTCAGAAGGCCCGTTTCCCTCTCTTCACACGACGCAAGTACCTCGGAACTGGAAACACCTCGGCTGGGCAAATGCCGGACCGGTGACAGGCGATCCTTCAAAGCAGTGGTTGGTTGAGATGCCAATCGCAGATGGGTCACCAACGCAGATGTTTAGCTGGAAAGGGCCCAGGGGCGATTGCGACGAGGCACGACACTCGAGAGCAGAACCCGATCTGCCAAGAGAAAGAAACCGCGCCTCAGCCCTCGGAGATCCTCGGCCTCGCGCAAGCCGCTGCTCCTGCTGGCCGTAACGAGGGCGCGAGGGCTAGCCCGAGGCGAGGCATTCTCGAGCGCGCGCGAAAACACGGCAGCGCGGCCAAGCAATATTTTCAAAAGGGTTGTCGGTCGTCCATACACCACATGATGCAGCGGGGAGGGTGTGCATGCCATGTGCACCCTTTCAGCAGCCTCGCTCCACCCGCTCCGGAGGGTCGACCAGCCAGCTCGGCGGCGGCGCACTCGGCCTCGCTCCTGCTCCCCTCCCCCGAGCAGGCGTCGGCGCGCCCGTGTCTGTGCTCGCGAAGACCCTTTCCTCCGTCCACGCGTTGACCTCGTCCGCCGGGCCCGCCTCGGCGAGGAGATCCCGCCCCTCCCGCCCGATCCGCATGAGCGAGACGAGCGCCGACGGGCCGCCGACGCTCGGGTGGATCTGCCTCCCAGCGGCGATGTTGCGCGACATGACGCCTCTGCAGACACGCCGCTCGAGCGCCTCGACGGCGTCTGCGTAGACAGCGGCACGCAAGCGCGAGTCATAGGCGTAGCCGGCGACGGTTGCGCCGTGCGACCTGCTCACGCCCGAGGTGTGAAGAGATGCTCGCGGCCGCCCTCCCAGCGACGGCGTAGCGGGAGGAAGGAGCGGTGCCTAGTCTCATCCCTCCCCGCTGCGCGGCCAGAGCTCGGCCAGCACGCAATCTCGGCGCAATCTCGGCGCAATCTCGGCGAGATCTCCGCCTCGCCCCCGCCACGCGGCACCAGCCGACAGTGCCGCTCGTGTCCGCAGGGTCGCGCTGCCCCTGCCGCGCTGTTCGGTCCATGGCCACCCGCTTCCACCCAAGCCAGCGCCGCACCGCCTCCCTGCAAGCCGCCGCTGCAGTCCGCATGTTGTCTCTGCTGCGAGCAAAGGACACGTCCAGCAGCAGCGGCCCGCTGAATCCAATGGCCACGGCGTTGCTGCTGTCGGCAGGAGGCTCGACTGGCAAAGCGCCGTCGAGCTCTCGCACCTCCTCCACGAACTCCCTCGCCGCGAGCGTGTAGTACCTAGGAAAGGTCCAGGAAAGGTCTCGGAAAGGTCCACGAACTCCCTGCCGCGAGCGTGTAGTAGTACCTCTCCGCCGCCTCCAGCCACCACCGCTGGCCCAGTCGCGTGTACTGCTCCTCGCTGAGTCCGGTGCCGACCTGCGCACCGCAGAGGGTGTGAAGAGACGCCGTTCACAGCGTGCGCGTCCTCTCATCAGTCCGATGCCCACCAGGCCCTCCTGCAAGTGCTCGGACATCTGGCAGATTGAGGGCGCGTCCGCAGCGTCGGCGCGGGGCGGGTAGTCGAACCGGAGCCGGATCAGGTCTCGTGAGAGGCCGAGCTCCACCCAGAAATGAGGCACACCTATGGTTCCAGCTCCGCGGCCTCGGCTGCTCGTGTCCTCATATAGCCGTCTCAGGGGCGAGGCAGGCCAGTGAGCGGCGCGTTCCACGCCCGCAGCGTGAAGGCGACCTCCTCCGGCTCGACCTCCTCACGGATAGAGACGGAGCACCAGGAGAGAGCGCTCTCCGGCGGCGCCGTGAAGCCTCGCACGCGCTCGGAGAGGCAGGCGCTGTACTCGCTGGGCTGGAGGGAGAGGCAGGAGGCGATCCGCTCTGGGCGCAGAGGCTAGCGGGTGAGCAATAGTGTGCGGGAACGTGGCGAACAGAGGCTCGAGAGAGTGGCAAGGCTGGGTGGCGGCACCGAGATTGCTGTCGAGGCACTCCTGGAATAGCTGCCGCTCGGAGAGCTCGGCTAATGGAGCAGACATTGACAGGGCCGACCTGGCCGCGAGCAGGACCATGATAGTGCTTCCGAGAGCACGCCGCTGTCGACGCGACTGTCGGCTCCCTTTGTGGAGTGTCGGTCGGCGGCTGCGGCACCACAACTCGGGAATGGCACCAAAAGTCGACGAAGTGGAATTTCCACACGCAGGCTGTGGCGTGAACTCGCATGCTCGTGCAGGTGGGGACCCTGTCCTCCTCCCCCATCCCTCGTTTGTGCTCTCTCTTTTTCTTTCTTTCTGGCACCAACACAGGTACACCAGACCGCGAAGGCCTAGCCCGAGGACCGCGCACGGAACACTCGGTCGAGACAAGCTCGTCGAGCCGCGGCGCATCCGGACCTCTTGTCGAGGTCTCGACCTTTGAAGCGAACCTCGTCCCGGTTCTAGTTCGCGCCTTCCGCGCGCCTCAGAACGTGCCGCCCCACTCGAAGCCGGACGGCGCCACTCGCTCCGGCAGGTCGGGTGCAGCCTCGGCCTGCGCGGCGCCAGTAGCGGGGGGTGCGGCAGCCGTCGCGGTGGCAGCGGCGGCGGGCGCCTCAGCCGGCACGGGCGCATGCGTCGGCGCCGGCAGCGAGCCACCCGCCTCGCAGAGTTGGTCGAGGTCGACGGCTCTCGCCCGCGCGAGCCCCTCGGCTGCCGCGGGGTAGTCAGGCTGCAGCTTGACCGCCTGCCTCCAGAGATGCGGAGATATGGGGAGATAGGGGGAGATATGGGGAGATATGGGGAGGTATGGGGAGGTATGGCTATGGGGAGATAGTCGGGCCGCAGCTTGACCGCCTGCTCGTAGTGCTTGATCACCTCCTGCGCAAGGGAGGAGGCGCGGCGGAGAGGGGAGGAGGTCTGTCAGGGCGCCGCTTGGAAGGCGCACGCGAGAGGAGGAGAGAGGCGCCTTCGCCGCGAGGTAGCCCGTCATGCAGTGCTCTTTTGACCGGCCCATGACGTAGTGCATCAGCGCGTCCTTCCCCCGGCAGCTGGTCAGGACGACCCGTCCGTTCGGCAGCACCTGTGGCAGAGGATGCCGCGCGTGAGGCGCAACGCCAGAGAGAGAGCCCTGCGTAGAACAGGGGAGGAGGGGTGAGAATCTTAGGGTACGCCACCTTTGGCCACTGCTCGGTCGCAAACAGCGCGATGGCCAGGTTGCGCCGCCGCGCCGCCTCGTTTGGCTTCTCGAATGGAGGCGAGCGGAAGATTTTATCCTCGAGGGCGCAGATCACCGCGCCGAGCTCGGACGGCGAGAGGGACTTCAGCATGTCGGGAGTGAGCGCGTCGACGTCGCCGTTGCAGCCCGCCGGGAGCGTCTTGCACGGCATCACAAACTCCGTCGCCGGCTTCGCACCGGCAGCCGCCGCGACTGCCTCGGCCGCCTTTAAGCGCCTCCTCCTCCTGCGCCGTCTTCTTCGCGGCCGCCTCCTCCGCCGCCGCAGCCGCTGCCTGATCCGCCGCAGCTGCTGCCTCCCTTGCCGCCTTTGCCGCCGCTTTCTTTGCCTCCTTTGCCGCCGCCGCCGCCGCTGCCTCCTCCGCCGCCTTGGCCGCCTCCCATGTTGCGACAGCCTCGTCCCACGTCTCCTTCTGCCAGGTTCCACTCGGCTCTTTAGCTATTTCGAGGATCTCACGCATGGTTGCGAGCCTCCGGCGCGCCAGCTCCTCCTCTCCAGAGCCCGCGAACCGCGTCAGGTCACGGCAGGCGCCGAGCGGCAGCCTCTTCCACAGCGCAGCGTCGCAGCCCCACTCGCTGAGTGGTGGTGGCATCTCTGCGCCCACGACGGTCATGGTGGCATGCCGAGAGCGAGAGGGCTCAGAGCGAAGGGCAGGGTGGAGCAATGCGAGGCCGGAGAAGAGGAGGCATGCTGCTGACATATGTCACCGCAGAGTGCCGATTTTGTGCGCACAAGACGGCCTGACGGAGCCGCGAACAAGATGGCGACGGCTAGCCCGGCGGAGGTGCAGCGCAGAGTGCCGTTTAGGTGCCACAGCGGAATTTCTTCTTCGATCAGTCTTCGCGATAATCGCGCAGCGCCAGGCGGAGGAGGAAAGATTTCCCTGCCCCAAGCAACACGCAAAACCCACGCTTTCGGTACACGGTGGGCGACTCACACTCGATCCCTTCCCGCTCCCCATCTTCGTCGTCCCTCCTTGCCGTCACTCTCCGCGCGGCTACACGCCGAAGCTCTTCCCGCAGCCGCACGTCTCCTCCGCGTTCGGGTTCGCAAACGAGAAGCCGCCGCCGATGAGCTCGTCGCTGTAGTCGAGCTGCAGCCCGTACAGAAACATGAGAGACTTTGGGTCGATCACGCAGCGGATCGTGCCCTGCACACGCGAGGGGCGCGGCGGCGTGGGAGGAGTGGCGCGCGGACGGAGACTTCGACTCAGAGGCCCCGCGCGCGGTGGCGGCAAACCTGCTCGTAGTCGATGGTGGTATCCTTCTCGTCTATCTCGCCCTCCTCCATGAAATCCATGACGTATCTGCAGGGGGAGAGGGCGGCGGTGGGGGCGCGGAGACTTGCGCCGCGCCGCACGCGGGCCGGGGGCGGAGCGCACGACATCCCGCTGCAGCCGCCCGCACGCACGCCCATCCGCAAGCACGCCCGCTCCTTCCCCGACTTCTCGCGCAGCTCCTGAATCTGCGTGAGCGCACGCTCGGAGAAGGAAATTATGGAATCCTGCGCCGCGCCGCCGTCCAGCCGAGGGCAAGCGCGCAGCAGGGTCGGCCTCGCGCACAGCAACGCGCGAGCGCGAACCGGCAATGCGGTTTCCGCTCCTCCACTGCTGACGACGGCGAGGCGCGTGCGCGTGAGGGCGGCCGGCGGAGGCGCGAGGTACGAGGACGCCGCGCGCAGCGAGGCGAACAGGACCAGCAAAATTAGTCTCATCACAGGAGATAACACTGTTGGAGGCGCGCGCAGCTCGGCAGACCGCCCAACACGCAAGGCAAAAGAATTCACTTTTCTCGAGTGTTTCCGCCCGCCGGTCGCCCGCCGACCTCGTTAAGACAACCCCCCCCACGCCTCCGGCGCGAAACCGCTGCCACTGCCGCCGCCGCCGCCGCCGTCCTCCTGCCCTCCCTGCCCGCCCGGCTCGCACAGCCCGGCCGGCACCGACGGCCGGATTTGCCGGCTGCGCCACGGCTTCCTCCAGATTTACCACGAGGGCGTGCGCAGCTTCCGCAAGGACGTGAACGGCTCTCAGCTGCTCCGCCTGGTGCGGTGGCCACGCCCGCCGCAGTGCCCGTACCTGGTCGGCTCCTGGCAGTGGGGGCACGGGATCGACTGCGGCCGGAGCGGCGTTTGCCCTCCGGCCTGGGAGGCCGCCTTCCACCGCGCAGACATCCTCTGGAACTCACCCGACCTCCTCGACCACCGCTCGTGCCTCGACGACCGGCGGCAAGCCCTTCGCGGCGTGGCGCAGGCGCCACGCCACTTTTACGAGGGGCCCGCGCTGCCACCGGCGCACGCGGCGCGCCGCTACACCCTCAGCTACATGGGCAAGTGTGCGCCGCCCGCCGCTTCGTGGGCGAGGCAACACGGCTGCCGCAGCCTTGTCCGGCCTCGCCTCAACGCCAGCCTCCACGGGCAGCGCGGCAACGACTCGTTCCGTGTGAGCTTCGTCTGCTCGGACGAGCTCGGGACACCCGACAGCGCGCACGGAGGCCGCATCAAGTACAGCGCGAGCGTGCGCGAGCGGTACCGGCGGAGCATGAACTCGACCTTCGTGCTGGTGCCTCGCGGGGACAACCGGTGGAACCAGGGCTCCTCGAGGGGCGGGGGCAGGAGGGATCAGCGAAGACTCAGAGACGGCTCGAGGGAAGTAGGTGGAACTACCGCTTCTCCGAGGCGGTTGGCGCGTGTGCGATCCCGGTCGCGCTGGCAGGCTCGGCACGGCAGCACACCGGAGCCGTCTCTGAAGCTTCTCTGTCCCTTCATGTAGGTCGTGCTGGCGGACGGGCTGAGCCTGCCCCTCGAGCCTCTCGTCGACTGGAGCGGCGCCGCGGTCGTCGTCCCGGAGGCGGCCGCCGACGACGCGGCCACGCTGCTGCGCTGGCTGCCGCCTCGGCGGAGGTGGGACGAGATCTCCCGAGATCTCCCGAGATGACCCTAGATGGCCCGAGATCACTCGAGATCACTCGATCACTCGAGATTAATTGCTCGAGGTGGGACGAGATGCTGGCCGCCGTCTGCCGCATCAATGCGAACCACTTTGCCACGCGGCAGCTGCGCGATCGCTCGATCGTCGACGCGGCGCTGCTGCTGCTGCGGAATGGGTCTAGCCCCGCGCCGGCCACTGAGACACCGGGAGGAGGAGGTGGCGCGCCGGGGGAGGCGGCCGATCGGCAGGGGGGCGGCATCTGTGTCGCGGTTGCGGCTACGGCGGACCGTGTGGGCGCACTGCACCGGCTGGCCACGTCGTGGCCCGGCCTGCTCTCGGTGGCCTTTCTGAGCCACAACTTCACGCGCGACGCCGCCCTCGGCCTGCGAGCGCTCGCGGCGCCGGGAGGGTCACTGCCGGCCTCGCCCGGGCGCATCGCGCTCTCCCTCGTGCCGAACCGGCCGTCAGGAGCGAGGCCGTACGTGCGAAGAGGCCGCGGCGGGCTGTTCGGCGACCTCTTTCCCCCGCCAACCTGCTGCGGAATCTCGGGTCATCTCAGGTCACCTCGGCGGGTTGTTGACTGAATAGGCGACCTCTTCCCCACCAACCTGCTGCGCAACGTTGCCCTCGACGCGTGCGGCGCCGCGGATGTTGCGCTGGTGCTCGACGTCGACTTCTCGTTCTGCTGCGGCGACGTCGCGCGCACGCTCGACCGGTACGCGCGCGCTGTGCGCGCAGACACGGGGCTAAGCTACGTGCTGCCCGCCTTTGAGGCAGCCGAGGGGGAAGTCATCCGCAGCAAGGGCGAGCTGCTCGACCGGCTCGACCGCAGCGGCGCCGGAGTCTTTGAGAAGCAGGCGCAGATCACCCGAGATCATCACCCGAGATGACCTCAGCGCGCCAGAGTTCACCCGAGTTCACCCGAGTTCACCCGAGTTCACCCGAGTTCAACCGAGTTCAACCGAGGTCAACCGAGTTCACTAGAGTCCACTAGAGATCACCCGAGATCGCCCGAGGCCGCCCGAGATCACTCGAGATCTTTGAAGAGCAGGCGCAGGCCTCTCACGCTTGTGACCGGCTCGAGCAGTGGCGCGGTGCCACCGAGCCCTTCGCCTCGCCCTATACGTACATGTGCGAGCCGTACTTGCTCGTGCACCGCTCGGTGCTGCCTCCGTACGACGAGTCGTTTGTCGGCTACGGCAAGAACCGCCTCTCGCTGCACTACGAGCTCGCGGCGAGGAGGGTGCGGATGGAGGTGGCGCCGGACGCGTTTGTGCTGCACGAGCGCGGCTCGCACGCGTCGCGCAGCAAGGTGTGGTGGGCGGGCGGGACGTGCTGGTTAATTACCAACTACCATGAGTATGAACTAATACTCAATTAGGCGTGGTGGGCAGGCGAGACCTGCTGGCCCGCGTTCCGCAAGCGGGTGTGGGAGGCGCACGGCTTCTGGCGCAGCAGCCGGCGCCAGCGACAGCTCGACGCGAACCCGAGGGTGCTGCAGGCGCACCACCGGGCGTTCGGGCCGCCTCGGGCACTCTCGGCTGATCTCGGGCAATCCCGGCTGATATCGAAGATCTCGGCTGATCTCGGGCTATCTCGGTGCTGCAGGCGCTCAACCGGACGTGCGGCGCCTGCGTCGCGCGTTCGGCAAGGCTCTGCGTGGGAAGCTGCCGGCCGGAGCTCGCGCGCTGGCTTCCCGGATCCCGCAAGCCGACGCTGCTCCCGCCGTCGGGGGCGCCGTTCGAGGCACCAGAGTGTCCGGGAGGTACCGCGATCGCAAGCTCGAGCGAGCCCGCGAGGCTCCGCAAAGAGAGCTAACATCTCGAGCTGGGTCCTGGGACCGTGTCCGGCCGAGCCCGAGGGACGCACGGAGCCCCTGTTGTAAACCGTCTCAGGGATGGGAGAAGGAGAGAGGTTATCCGTACTGTTGTGTACATGAACATGTATCGACCTTACATGCACCCGTGTGGCGTGTCCGTGTGTCCTGAGTGTGCACTGGTGCGCATTTTGTGGAAAGGAAAAGGAGAGGGAAGCGGTTAATTAGACGTCGCGAATCGATCAGGGGACGGGAGTGGGGGGAGCGCATCGCGACACGGAGAGTGGGCAGCAGGCACAACAGGGAGTCCTCTCTCGTATAGTTTGAGCGTATAGGACAAATGTGGTTATGCCAGTGGAGGCTGAGGACGTCCTGAAAATAAATAGTCACACCAGGGACAACTCACGGTCGGCGGTCAGAAAACACGCCTGCGTGGACTGGACGCGTCACACCAATCTTCGCTACCAACACAAAGAAAAGAAAAGAATGTTGCGACAAAAGAAACTCAGTACCTGGCGGTCTTGGAGGGGGGGGGGGGGGGGGGGGGCACAGCCTCCGACTCTGTGGTGGTGGTGGTGGTGGTGGTGGGGAAAGTGGGGGTGGGGGGGAATAATAGCTCCGCCGCCCTCTCCGCCTCCAGCTTGCTTTCTGCCCGCTCCTGTCGACCAACAGCATGTGCATGTATATGGACGCACGCAGCGCCCTCGTCGGCGCTGCCCTCGGTGCCGCGGCGTCTGTGTGCGTCCTGCGGCTGCTGCGCCCGAACTCTCCGCCTCGCGGTGCGCTGCGCCAGCATGCGCCAGTCGACACGGCTGGCGTGCTCGCGACCGGCAAGGTGGCCGTCATCATTGGCTCCGGCTCCGGCATCGGCCGATGCGCAGCGCTGCGCTGCGTCGCGCTGGGCATGAAGGTGATGCTCGCCGACATCGATGTGCCGGACGCCACCTCAGTGCAGGCCGAATGCGAGGCCGCCGGCGCGCCGAAGGGGTCGGTCGTGGTGCAAAGGTGCGACTGCCGCGTCGAGGCGGACGTGCGCGCGGCACGCGACGCCGCGTACGCCGCGTTTGGCGCCGTCCACCTGCTGATGAACAACGCGGCGATGCAGTCCAACAACCGGTGCGGCCCTTATGAGCACCCCGACCGCTGGAAGGTGATCCTGGACACGAACCTGCTGGGCGTCTACCACGGCGGCCTCGCCTTCGCGCCGAGCATGGTGGAGCAGGCCGAGCCGTCTGTCATCGTCAACACCGGGTCGAAGCAGGGCATCACGATGCCGCCGGGTGACACGGCGTACAACGTCTCCAAGGCGGGCGTCAAGGTGCGGTGGTGGCGAGGGTGGGTGTGGTGGTGTGGGGCGGGGGACGGAGAGTCGAGGCGATGAGTGGTGGCAGAGTACGGGGCCCTTCGTCGCGTCGTAGTCCCGAGTCGCCCCTGCGCAGGTGCTGACCGAGGCGCTCCAGCACCAGCTCCGCTCAACGGACGGCTGCCGGGTGAACGCCTCCTCTGCTCCTGTGCCTGGACCCGCGCCTGTGCGCGGCGCCTCTTCAGCATTGTCGCGGCGAGCAGGTGAACGCCTTCCTGCTCGTGCCGGGCTGCGTCAACACCATGATCCGCACGCGCGGCGACAAGTGGGTCGAGGGCGCCGCCTTTAAGCCCGACCGCGCCAAGGACGAGCGCGAGTACAATGGCGTCGTCGATCGCGCGTACGCGGCGGAAAAGTGGAGGGAGCGCGGCGCGTGGCAGCCCGACCAGGTGATTGACGAGCTCTTTGGCGCCATCGCCGCCGGCACGCCCTTCTACGTCATCTGCGCCGACGGCGAGACGACGCGCGCGATGGACGACGGGCGGATGCAGTGGGCGATGGACGACCTCGTCTTCCGCCGCGCGCCGCTCTCGCGCTGGTCGGAGGAGTACAAGGCCGAGTACGCGAGGGTGGCGCGGGGGTTCTGATATACGTGTACCTGGTATCTTTTGCCGTTATTTCCCTCATAGGCGCTGCTTGAACGAGCACACTGCACCAAGGGAGGGATGGGGTAAGGTGACGTCGGAACAATTATTTCTTTTTCAGGGGGGAAAGCACTGCGTGTTCCTGCTCCCGCCATCCTGGCCGCAGACTACGACATACCAGCAGCCAACGACCAGACGCACGACGATCAGCATGCTGAGAGCGTCGCGGCTACGAAGCCTAGCTCGCGACATCAGCTTCGCCGGCGTCGCCGGCGGCTCCGCTGACTTTGTCTGCCAGCGGCTCGAGAGTGGACTCGCCGTGTTGCCTCCAGACGAGGCGGCGCCGAGCTACGACTGGAGGCGCTCGTTCGCCTTCTCGACCTTCACGGGGCTCTACATCGGAGGAGTCTGCACGCCTCTTTACTCCCTCTACCCGCGCATCGCCGCATCGCTCTTCCGCAGCCCGAGCCCGAACGTCTCTGGCGCCGTCGCCACGCTGTGCGACAACTTCGTGCACGTGCCCTTCCTCTACCTGCCAGCCTTCTACCTCGGAACGGGCGCCCTGCGCGGCGAGAGCAGCGCCGAGATGGCGGACGGGCTGCGCCGCAACTGGGCGATGAGCGTTGCCTCCTGCCTGAGCTTCTGGCTACCGGCCCAGTTTGTCATCTTCAGCATGGTGCCGGCCGCGTACCGAGTCCGCTGCGTGGCCTCGTGCGACTTTGTGTGGAATGTCGCACTCTCCTTTATTGCCCATCGCAGGGAGCCCATTAGTGATGCGCCGCCAGCAATGATGCAGGCGGACTCGTGAGGGGCTAGAGGTGGTCTCCGCTGTGGAAACCGCTAGCCGCCACACGTACACCGGCTATCGATAATCTATCGAATTGTTAGTCTATGATCGGGCCACGCACGACATCGACTCATGAGTCTCCCGAGGAGGGCGAGGCCGGCACAGGTATAAAGTAAATACGGCGTTGGCCGTGTCGCGTTTCGCTTACGCTTTCGGCGGGGGGCCTCTCGGGACGCACTGTGGCAGCCTCCTCGACGCCGCGGAGATTGAGATGCACTGGAAAAAGATAGTAGATACGGCTTTCTAGATCGCAAATGCAGGACTCGAGGCGGTCGTCTTGGTCGTCACCGACGACGACTCTCTCACGAGCTCCGCATTCTCGGGGTGGGCGCCTTTCGCTTCGGCGGCCGATCCCACGGCCACGCAGTGGCCACAGGCACGGCGGGAGCGGGGGCGGGGGCGGCGGACCGAGCCTTGCCGGCGCCGGCAGCCGCCGCGCCCCTCGGCCGCTCCGCGAGGTCGAGGAGCGCCTGTTCACAGCTGCAGGTTGTGAAGAGACGCTGTTCACACCCTCGGCCTCTCCGCGAGGTCGAGGAGCGCCTGGCCGAGCTTGGCGACGGAGGAGACGGGGAAGAATGAGCTCTCTGCCCTCGAGGAGGCGTCGAGGCGCTGTTGCTTGCTTCGTCGCGCTTCCTCCTCCGCCTCTTCGCCCTCGCCCTCCCCCTCGCCCTCCCCCTCGCCCTCCCCCTCCTCCTCCCCCTCGCCCTCCCCCTCGCCCTCCTCCTCGCCCTCCTCCTCGCCCTCCTCCTCCCCCTCCTCCTCGCCCTCCTCCTCGCCCTCCTCCTCGCCCTCCTCCTCCCCCTCCTCCTCGCCCTCCTCCTCGCCCTCCTCCTCGCCCTCCTCGCCCCCGCCCTCCTCCTCGCCCTCCTCCTCCTCGTCTGCCTCCTCCTCTGCCTCCTCCCCTGCCTCCTCCTCCTCCTCCTCCTCGCCCTCCTCCTCCCCCCCCTCCTCCTCCTCCTCCTCCTCCTCGCCCTCCTCCTCCCCCTCCTCCTCCTCCTCGTCGCGCACGTAGAGAGCTGGCTCGCCCCTCCGCGACCCTCTCGCAGGCGCCTATTCACAGCTGCAGGTATGAAGAGACGCTTTCTACAGCTCGCCCCTCCGCGACCCTCTCGCAGGCGCCTATTCACAGCTGCAGGTA